CCAGAATGTAAGACTTCTTGGTATAATATACATTGGTTTAATCAACATATTATCCTAAATATTTTATATTTATTTCAAATATAAAAAGTTCTATTATGAAATAAAAACTACTTTGAAGCATGAAAGCTGATAGAAAAGGAAACAACTTCTAAACTATTGTTAGATAAATGAGACATCGAGATATTTTCCAGGAACATGGGGTAGTCCTTGAAAGTGGAATAGTATAATACTGGCGAACATTTACTGAGCATTTTCTACATGCCACTAGGTGAATATAGAAGTACAATCTCATGTGCTCCTCTCAGGAAAATCATCATCCTATGTAGGTCCTGCCACGTTCTCTATTTTCTAACAAGGACATTTTGAAAATTAAGGTCAAATGGTTATTAAGTCTGAGCCTGGATTCTAATCCAGCATCTCTGATTTACCCTTCCCTGCCCCTTGTACGTTCCTTGCAAAGGTATTTCCCATGATGTTCATATATGATATGTAACTCCTAATTGATGAAACTAGCTTTTTAAAAATTTTATGATGTTACTTGCCAAAATGTCTCCTTAAAGGCTACACGTTCACATCAGGAATACCCTTGAAATTCTCCTTTTGTATCTGCAATTAGTGTCAATTTATAAGCCTGATATCAAATAATCTGCTGCTTTATAATCACATCATAGTTTCCATCAAGCACCTTGTTCACTACATTTGGTTTGGCTTTAGTTTCACCAACAAATTCATCCTTAATGATAATGATTTGCCAACAATCAAACTGTTAAAACTGAAGAGCAAATTCCTGAGGAGATTTCTATAGAGACCTGTGCAAAGACATTATTACTGAAATAAGCAAATAACCTCCTAAGCTGTCTACCCTGAAGAGGATGACACATGGTTAGACATGTATTTCTAAAATATTTTCTGGTGGGGGGGAAATATTGATTACATCACCTCCTGATCTCATCATCTCTATAAGTGAGCGAAGGTTATGAGTCTAAGGAAGCAATGCAGCATCATATCTAAGGGCATCACCAGAAACAAACAAACCTAGCTTCATGTCTTTTGTCTGGCACCTAGGGGCTAATAGACCCTGGTCAAGTAATGTCACCTCTCTAAGCTTTAGTTTTTAAAATCTGTAAAATGAAGAGAATTGTAGTTCCTGTCTGAAAGGTTGTAGTTTGGATAAAAAGAAAAAAAGTTTATAAAGCAGTTAATATAATTAAATTAATTAAAGCAGTTAACACAAGACTAACAAATAGTGAGTGGCTATTAAATATTATGCACTTTAAAATTTATTTATTTCAACTCTCATTCTAATAAGGTAGTATTATTTTTGCACATATACTACAAATATCTTTGTATTACATATATGAATATTATTCACATAGAAATATCTAACTACAAAGTTAGTTAAAAAAAAATCACCTATAGGGGCGCCTGGGTGGCTCAGTCGTTAAGCGTCTGCCTTCGGCTCAGGTCATGATCCCAGGGTCCTGGGATCAAGCCCCACATCGGGCTCCCTGCTCGGCGGGAAGCCTGCTTCTCCCTCTCCCACTCCCCCTGCTTGTGTTCCCTCTCTCGCTGTGTCTCTCTCTGTCAAATAAATAAATAAAATCTTTAAAAAAAAAAAATCACCTATAGAAAATCAGACTTCCTTGGTTTGGGTCTTTGACTCAGTGAACTAGTATATAATGATAAATCAAAGCAGTTTTAATGCCTGATTTAAATTTAAGAGTTTTACTGTATTTTACTTTTAATTCTCACCATATTCCAAAACAGTTTAGAGAAACTTCATCCCAAGCAATGAAAATGAATTCTCTCTTTTCCTGGTAAATTAGAATATGGATATAATTACTTATCTCCTTGTTTTCAGATTTAGTGTGTATGGGAAACATATAAATCGATGCATGATCTTGCCTTCCTGAAAAAATAAAATTTGTATTATTTTCCTTGGTTTATAATTTTAGGTCATAAATAAAATATTTAGAAGTAATTTTGTAAATTCTCAACTAAGTAAAATACCATCATTTGGAAAATTACCTAGAGAGATAAAGAAAACAAGGTACATTTTGCACTGTGGTGGCTTTATTCTCTCCTTTCTAGATTTGTCTTATTTTGGTGTTCTTAATGAGGAGAGATAGCAGGAATAGGAATACCAGATATAAATTGTTTGTTAACACTTTGAGTCCATTTCTTCCTATAATACATATTTACACAAACTGAAATCAATAGAACACACATCCCAAGTGGGACTTCATTAAAACCAAAAATGCAAAATGTCTATGGCTTCTATTTTGCAAGAAGCAACACACAGTCCCCTAGACATAGTTGTAATGTTGATCATGCATCCAACAGAGAACAATGTCTAGGTCCCTCTTGAACAGAATGCTCCATTAGGCACTCCATGGGCTCCCCCTTCCCGGCAGGCCTTGGCCCAGCCCCGTTGCCATAGATGGCCATCAGACATTTGGAATGACATCAGGAGATAATCTGAGTAGGCTCTGCCCTAAAGAATTCAGGCTAGCAGGAGACTGAAGATATCAATGTCTTCTTGGCTGACAACAGCATTCCAAAGGTCAACCAGGGTGAAAGAGGATGGACTTGGAGTTTCCAGTGCATTTTCAACAACCAAGCAGCTAACAAGTATAAAGAAGCATCCCTCAAGACAAAAAATAATAAATTAAGACAAAATGAAAGTCTGGAAGTACACTAGATACGCCATGCCTGTGAAAGGGAAATAAGACAACCTACATCCATTCGGTCAGGGAATTTTAGGATTAAAGAGATCACTACCTCTTAAAAATAAAACTCACAAACAGTTCTCATCCTGAACCAATTCCCATCCCTCTGACAATCTACTTCTCCAACTTTCTCTGCTGTGTCAGCCCCTGTATGGGTGAATATGGAACTTAATGGTGTAGAAGTAGAAATTCTTTGCAGAAGAATAAGAATGTCTTTTACTACAGTTTACCATTTCCCAGCCCTGTGCTTTATGTTGGGTGGCTCATTTAATCCCCATAACAAAGTTTTAAGAGTAGCACTTTATGTTCCACATTTTACAGATGAGGAAACTGAGGCAAAGGGAGGTTCCATAACTTGTACCTAATAGTATCTTCATCGAATTTGGAAAAGATTATGCTTTACTAACAATTCTCACCTTATATAACATTTTTCTTCCCTGACCTTAAGAGTGCTTTTCAAGCTCTTACTTTAGAAGGATAATTCCATTTCCTCAGATTTTTTTAAGTATAAATAAGAACAATGTTATCCCAACCACTCTCTCTAAGAAGACATGATATGAATCTATGAAGCTACCAATAATACATTTTTAGTTTGGGAGACAGTGTTATTTTCCTACACACCTTATTCTTTACTAGAATTTCTTCCTAGAAGAATGCTTAGAAGTATTTTCTCTTGTAAAAGGGTACTCCTGGTCAAAAATCTTCTGTCAGGTCACCTTTCTGTAGGGTTAATTTACCTAGTCAACCCCAGGCAACGTGCCCTGGTCTGGCACAAAGTGCAGTAAATAGACCCTGCCTGGTGACCTTAACTTCTTTCTAAATTTATGGCATGATTTAGGGGTGCATCTGTTAATTTCTCTGGGCCCCACTTGCCTTCCCTGTAAAAAAATTAGGTGCTTGTGTTAAATGTTCCCTAAGACCTCTTTCAGCAAGAAGATACGGAAATTCTGACTTTAAAACTTTCCACACTAGTGCCAGGAAATGCAAATGCCAAGAGTGTCCTAAAATTTGGCTGGTATCATAAAGCAGATTCTTTCTTTCTTTTTTTTTAACCAGCATTCATTTAAAACTCTAGAGCAGCACATTCCAATAGAACTTTATGCAATGATGGCAATGTTCAACATCTCGCAGTCAAATAAGGTAGCCACTAGCCGCCTGTGGCTATTGAGCACTTGAAATGTGGCCCGTATAACTGGGGAACTGAATTTTGAATTTTATGTAATTCTAATAAGCTTAAACTTAAAAAGCCACAGGCGGCTAGCGGCTACCATATTGGTGGCAGCTTATAGCTTCAAGAGCACGACAATAGAAACACTCTACACCTTTGATTTATTTCAGCCGAGTACCTTACAATGTCTTTGGAGCACTGATCTTTCCACCACTCTTGGGACCCTTGGTACAGCTCCACAGACAGATCAAAGAACAGCCCAGGCATTTGCATTTCGTGATGGCATTTTTGCAAGAGACCCCGGTACTGTTCTCACGTGCCAGCAAATAGAGGGGATGGAAAGGGAAAGGAAGTTTGGGGGGTTTTGTGTCTTTTCTCCCTCGTCTCCCATTTGTCGTGTAGCTTGTGGCCTCTCCTTAGCCAAGACGCGCACCTATCCACCGAGGCAGCTTAACTACCAGACCCAGAAGTTGGCTGTTAGTTTTTTAAATAATCGTGTAGACCCTGAGAGATTGGGCTGTAAAATCCAGCTCCAGGACCGCGTCCTTTCCTATTGGCTTGTCAGGTGAAAAACAGGGCTGACTGGCGGGACAGGGGCGGCGGCCGGACCTGCGCCCGCCACTATTTCTCCCCCAGGCGCGCAAACCGCTCAGAGCCCGGGCGGCTGCCAGGGCCGCCGGACGCCGACCGCGTGCTAGCGCTTTGTGCCCCGTGCGTAGGTGGGTTCACTGGGCGCCTCGCTCGGAACTCATCCCCAGCCCTCTGGGGTCGTCGTTCGCCAACCTAGGGGAAATATCCCCAGGATGCCCAAACCGGACGAGCAGGGCAACTCCCCGACACCGCCACCGAGCGTTTCCAGGGCCCACCCACCACCGTTGCGCCCTCCTCCCATTCTCCACAGCCCACCACGCGGCCTCTTCGCCAAACCACCAGCCGCTTCCCCCTCGCCCCCGAGCCGTGACATCCCCCTCAAGACACAACCCGGCACACTCCCCGCCAAGACAGCCCGCCCCCCACCCTCGGCGCACCCAGGCCCACAGGCCCCCGGAGGGCCCCGAGCCCGCCTCCTCCTCGCCCGTGGCGCACGCACGTGGCGCACTCACCCCCTACTAGCTGCCTCCGAGCTCTAGAAACGCTCCCGGGAGGGAGCCCCCGCCCCCTCGGCTCCGACCGCTCTGAGGAAAGTGGGTGGGGGGAAGCGGAGACGGGCTGAGAAGGAATAGGTAGGTCGGTCCGCTCTGAGAAAAGTGGGTGGGGGGAAGTGGAGATGGGCAGAGAAAGGAGTATATAGGTGGAGAGCGGTGTTGGAGGGGACGACCGGCAATAATTGGATGGCGTTGCGGCTGTTGCGCCTCTGTGAACGCCCAGCCAGCGCGGATTCACTTTCCACACAAATCACCCGGAGGGATTGTTGCAGCCTGCAATCAATAACTCAGCGGAGTAAGCTGCTGAAACCAGAGGCGTCCCCTGTCTGGGTCTTTAAGAGGCCGTCCGAACTGAATTCCAGCCCTCGGCTTCCCAGACAAAGAAGTGGGCACCAAAACGCAGGCCGAGATTTTTAACCCCCACCCCCAACCCCGATCCCGGGTAAAGATCTTTAAAAATTAAAGGGCACACACATAGAGAGGTTTCTAGAAAAAAACAGTTAAAAGGGGAAGTGTGACAATCCATTCTTTGAATTGAAGGTTTCTGTGATATTTCGAGAAATGGGATAGAATGAATGTTCCAGTGAACATTTAACGATTTTGTAAGTGAAGGTAAAGTCCATTAAATTTAGCCATGCATATGGATACTTTTTAATCAGCCACACATTTGCAAGGAAATTGCTGATCTAGCCTTATTTGGGCATACTCATCCAGGAAAAGGAAGAAATGTATCATAATTTGTAGTGGCATTGTTAAAAGCCTTAGCATATCTTTCAGACATTATTCCATGAAGATTGCATTTCTGTAAAGTGAAAAGGCCCTGGGAGATGTGTATTATGATTCACACTTAGCAGACTGTAAAACCAAGCAGAGCTGGGAGAAAGGGTATTCACCAGGTCAACAGATACTCACTGCCGGTCACTAAGTTTAAACTAACTCACTGTGGGCCTGAGCCTAAAAGACTCTCAGCTAACACCCCTAAAATAAAAGTGGCCAGAATTCATTTCTCCTTGCCTGAAGCAATTTAAAAATAAAAATAAATCTTAAGAATGTCAACCCAAATATAGAGGCTTTATAAATCTTAATGAGTCTTCACTATGAAAAGCCTTCTTGCTAATACAAATGGGTCAATGGAACCATCATGGTGTGATATGTCTCACGGTTGGGAGGAGTAGACTCATTCTGAAGCCAGGGAAAAGTTCATTTGTGTGCTTGGAGTCATAGAAAGCTAGTTTCAAACAGAGATTAGAACACAGGAGCATTTGTCTGTGCTCAGTATAGTTAAACACTGCTGGGAAGCATAAGGTATTATTGGTAATAGAATTCATAAAGGGTACTGAATCCACACCACTAATCCCGAAGTTTTTATAACTGGCCTTTAGGCAACATACACAATAAGCCCTTTCAGCAACTTCAGTTGCAGCTTCATTATCCCTACTTGACAAATTTTGTTAGCTTGGGATATGGTAGATTTTACTTTCTCCTTTGTAATTCTTAATCAGATACAAAATTAAAGGTACAAAAAATAAAGATAAATATAGGCTCTTTAGATATGAGATAAAGGATATGATTAAACCTTGGCTTGGAATAACAAATCCTTTGCATATTGCAGATTCTCAATCACAAGCAGTCCATATGGTGTATACTGTGCATAGGCTAAAGCTGTACCTAAAGAATTTTTGAAATTTAGATATTTGGCACTATTTATTTTAAAGGCTATAAGTATTTTCACAATTAATGATCATTTTAATTATTTTGTATTTAGCATACATTCGTTTTAAAATCAGAATTAATACTGATGTTACTTCAGATTAGAAGTTTTAGAAATAAATTTATTTGAATGTACTTTAATATCAGCTTTCTTTAAAAAAAAAATGTTTTTAACTGTGTACCTTGTTGTACTTACACATTTTAAGGTGCCAAAGAAGAGTTGAAAACTGTGAAGTAACTTCTATGAAGAGATGAAGTAAAGAATGGAAGGCAAATGACTGTATGTGTATGTGGTGAGTGCTTAACATTTGTTATATCATTTACCACCAAGCTAATTCATAAAGGTAAAACTGCCAAACTCCTTGTCATTAGGTATCTATAATGTAGACACATAAAAGTGATAAAGTGTGATGCAACCATTATATACTTTATATTATAAGCAATACCATGCCATTTTGCTTAAAGCTCACGGGTCACTTTTCAGGGCCTACCTTTGCAAGTCTCTTTTACAATCCATTTCAGGGTAAGTTAATGTATGTCATCTCTACTGTAACTATAAAAAGATACAACATTTTTAATGCTACTGGAATTTGTATCTTACTACTTTCTATATTTTTCTGAACTTCTATGTTCAATTATGTTTGTGTTGAAAGTATTCTGGCTGAAGAACAAATACTATACAGTTGAATAATCTTGAGGGGTAGATTAATCTATAGCCTCTCTTCATCTTAGGGTGGGTTGCTGTGGCAACCACCCCAGCTTACTTTAAAATAATTTTTTAAAGCTCACTTCAAGAGCTACACCCAGCGTGGGCCAAGCTTAAAAGCAGGCATACCCAGTGAACAGGGTTTTAGTAGACTGCTGATTTAATGTAGGGAAGTAGTAAAGAGAGGAGGGTGGAGTAAGATGGTACACAACCTTGAACAGAAATTAGAAATTAGCTTTCCTTAGATTCAAGTCCTAAGGAATATGCTCTCTGTAACTTCTGTGGCACTTTAAATATATTGCTAAACAATTCTTTTTGGGGGGGGGGGACAAGTAAATATATATTTACATACATAATAAATCACTTATGACAATTATTTAGTAAAGAAAATATTTGGTGATTGGGGGAAAAAAGTTTATTTAAATAGTATGTCAATCCCAGACATCATTTTCTCTTAACTGATTTGTCACCTTTTATTTAACATGATAGGCCACTAGTGTCAAACTGGCTTAAAGAGTTTAAGAATCTTCTACTTTCCAGTCATAGAACTGGAATAGATTGGAGAATTCATGTAACTCAATTAATAAGCAAACTGAACCCCTGAAAAGACATACTCATTAGTTAGGCACAAGTCTTGAACCAGAAAATATAGGCCTACTAACACCTAGTACAAGCTCCTCCCTACACCAAAAAACATTATGATATAGCCGAGTACCATTAGGTGGTAAAGATCAGGATAATTTTGGTAAAAAAAAAAAAAAAATCCAGAGTTTTTAAAGAATACAAAGCACATTTTGTATTAACCACTTTTTGAATTACCAATGAATAATTTTAAATCTCAGTGACTTTCTATTGTATATTTTTGCACAACCTCTTCTGTTCTGCTTCAACTATGAAGGCTCATGGGAAGAAAACTAATGCTAATATTAACTTAGGTCACACATAATTAAGAAGCTAAATCTGCTGAGGGGAATATTTTATATTTTAAAAGGCCAACCGTTATACATTCCAGACCCAAATTATTTCCAAATTATCCACAGTGTGGGGTTATACATATTTTTGAATGCTTGTACTATCATTGATAATTATGGGTTTGTTATAATGTTTATTATTAAATAATGCTTTAAGATGTTAAAAGGTAAAATAATTTATTTTTGAAGGAAAACCATCTAAAACTGAAGTGTACTGTGGTAAATAGAAATAATCTATAATCCATCAAAAATAGTATGGTTGAAATTCATGTATTGCCTATGTTTATTTGCTCATGTAAAATAGGCTTTTACAATTCATTACGTTAATATCAGGCACTATGGCAATAAACATTTGTTCCTACAATTGTTTTGTTTTGTCAAGGCATTTGTGAATCTAGAAAAAATTAAAATAATTTCATTTTACCACCATGTATAGACATATCTTAGTATTCAAAATGACTGTGCACCTTTAAATTTTTGGATTCTTTTTTTAGAAGTTGTACCTTAAAGGAAAACCTGATATAAACTATCTCTGCCATATTATTAAAATGAATTCATGGTAGTAGCAAACTCACCAGATGAAAAGCAAACAGGCAAACAAATATATTGTAGATACTAATCTGCAAGAAATAATACTATTTCAGATGGCATTTGCTTCGTCTTATCTGTGCTGATAGTCACAATGGTGATGAGCCAGAAGCCTGAAGATTGTTCAGATCTGGTTGTGCTTGCCTGGAAAATCAACCTTCTCCTTTCAAGTGAAACCTTGGGGCAGACACCTAAATGTTGAGCCCACTCTTCTGAGAAAAGCTACTCACATCAAATAGCCCCTACAATGAAGCAGGAGGCTTTTTGAATCATACATTAAAATAGTCTAGAGGCATGGTGCAGAACTTCACAGGAAATGCAACTAGTCATTGGGTTAAACACATAGTGCTGAAAGGAATTTTTTTAAGTGAGGAAATATCTTTAATTAGCTAGATATTTCAGTATACTTCTATTGTCTACTCCTGTACGTTCAAAGTTTTTATTTCCCGAATGTATTTTCCCTTCTTCCTTTCACGATATTAAAAAATTTTAATTTGGTTTAAACATTTTATATGATCTATAGTTCCACTGGCATGCAATCTTGTCTTTTCATGGTTTGTGTACTAGTTGGTGTATTTTATCTTTGGCTTTATTGGGTGTGGTGTAATTGGCTAGAGAGGGAAGGTGCCCAACCCCTAGTAGCCTTTCCTAAATCTTGAATATTAACCTATCTTTTTTTTTTTTTTTTTTTTCTGGTCAGGTCAAGTGTTTACTGGGCTTAAATCTTAACATAAGTATCTTCCTTATCAGTCCCTATTTCTGCTTCCTGTGCAGCTGAAACTCTTCAGGATAAGTGAAGTCATCAGCTATCGGATAGGGAAGCCTAATGCATTTGGGAAATAGGTTTGGTTTACATGTTAATGCTCTGGATAAAATCCAGGAAGGTGTGGAAGAGATAGAAGTAGGAGGAGGGAGGGGGAAATCTCCAAGGAAGCTGCCGCCTCGGTAAATATTTCCAAACTGATTAGAAAGTTCATGGCCCCGCGATGAAGTCGAGATTTCAGGAACTGGTATTTTATTACTTTGTACATTACTAACACATAAGAAGTATTTCCGCACTCTTTCTGGCCCTCCAGCCTTTCTGGGCCGAAAACCGCGTATTCTGGGCGTGCAGGAAAAGCGCGCTGGAATCGAGTGCTGCAGACATCCTGGACGGTGGCTTTTACGCGTGAGTAACAGAGGAGCGCTCGGACGGGTGGAAGAAAGAAGTGGTTAACGCGTCTCCAAACGGGGGGAAAA